CCTTGGGCGAGCTCGCCCAAAATCCAACGAGCCGAGCTCAAGCTCGGCGCGGTGGAAACGAGCCACGAGCTCGACTCGTGCTCGTGCTCGCACGAGCCGAGCGCGTGTGGGTATGGGCCTCGTGCGCGTGTGGGTATGGGCCGAGCCGGCTCGGCCCATTGACATCCCTACCTGGGCCAGAAACATGGGGTCTGAGATTCTTTAACAATGGTGTGGAAAAAACGATAGAATTATTGGAAGAGGCAAAATAGCTTATTTATGCAGTAGGTACCAAAATTCACAAACACATAAAAAAACTTAATTAAAAACCCAATAATTTGACATGAACATCAAGAAAAAATATTTCTACAAAAATGCAAAACGAAACCATTGAAGAAAAGTGAAATTCAAGAACCGATATGAAGAACTCCGTACTTTTTGGTAGAAAACTTCCTTCTTCTCGAAATCCTCATTCTCTTGTGTGATTGAAGATTGTTCCTTTTGCAGATTCAAACGATCGGTGAATGATTTATGTGAGAAGATCGTGTTGACTTTGAAGAAATTTTGGGAAAGTTAGGGTTTTACCAACAACATGGAAGAAGCAAAATGAGAGAGGGGAAGAACGCCGCTGGGAAATAGAAGATTAAAAAAATTAATTGAATGTTGACGAGAGGAAATGGGGACATGTGTCTTGGACAAACAGTAGTTTCTCTTAGTCTCTTTTATATTATAGGGATTTAACCATTATTTCACAATTAGTGTGTGCACATCTTATAGATTTTCTCTCGTTCTTTCTCAAGTTTTTTGTGGTTCTTCTCTATAAATCTTCGATAGATTTTGATGCGTACATAGTGTAAAATAAGAGACGAATTTTCTGTTGGTTTGTAAATTTTTTGAGGCTGAAGAAAGTTTGAAGAAATTTGTGATTTCTTTGTACATTTGTATTGAACATTCTTGATTGAATTTCTAGTATTAGAGCCTAATCTACTTTGTAGATATTCAACGGGTGAGTAGTGTTGACTTATGGGTGACTTCATGTATTGATTATAACAAACAAATTACTTTTATTTTTAACAATTGAATTCGAGTTTGCATAGCTATTGTTGCAAAGTTGATCGATTGGGGACAAAAAGTTCACTGCCAAAAGACTCGCATCGCACGATCAATAAAAATCAAGATGGAAACCGAACATTCACGACAAATCACTCGAGACAAAGAATTTCAATTGCCAAACATCGAAGATATTAGATTAAGATGTTTTGGATTCACGTGTAAAGACAAAATTGTTTAATCATTAGCAATGAATCATTAAAAGCTCAATGACTGAATTTTTATGCACGAGAAAACTATTTCATAAAAATAATTGCATAAAAAATATTTTTTCAAAAGGTAAATATTTCAACTTGATAATCAAATTCTTTACAATGTCATCTACCTTGAAAAAGTAAGTGAAAACGTCTTTCAAGGTAAATACTATTTCACTTTGCATTCTTGAATTAAATTATATTGATTATATATCTTATTTATCTTTATCAAATCATTTATTTTGAAAAACTTTTGAAAATCATTTTTCTCATCAAAATTTTTTCTCACCTAACGCTTGAGCTTCGTTCATTGCTATTCATTAAAGTGTTAGTCTATTTCTCTTTATACTTAATTTGATCATATCATTTATTAAGAGAGAAGTTTCAAATTGTAAAATCAATTTTCTTTAAATTTGTGGGTTATATTGAAGTCCTGTAAAGCTCAATATTATATAAGAATCGAGTTCCTTTTATTCAAGTTACCAGAAGCATTGTAAGGATTTGGATTGCACCATAAGTTAATCAAATATAGTGAAAAGACATTATTTGTGACACAGAGTTTGATAACAGAGGACGTAGATCATTGTTTGGAATCGAATATCCACAATTACATCATTTGCATACTCTCTTCCCTTTTACTTATTGCTATCATACTTGTGCATTTTTGTGAAATTCACTTATTCCTTTTCAATTTTGCTTAAACTTGAATTAATTTTCCGAAAAAGTTTTTAATAATCAATTCATTCTCCTCTTTGTTAGTTCTTCTTGGACTATCAAGAAGTGTTTAGAAGAACGTAAACCTCAAGATTGATTAGCATGTGACAAATTTCTTGTGTTGATTCTTTAATTTTCTACAAGATTTACTTGATCATTTTGAATTAAAACTTTGATTTTGGACTAACAAATATAATAAGAAAAATCGATTATTATAAGTCAAAACAAGGTGTTGGCCACGCAATTGGTGCGGTCTAGTTAAGGAAGAAAAACAAATGAAAATGTGAATAAAATTGGACCTTAGTATATATTGAATTAATTTTCCTCATAGTAATTATGGTAATAGCTAAAATTAAGCTACCCGATTACTAAAATCATGCATAAGTAATTATTTCTTGTTGTTGGGCAGCACATGGGATAAGTGGTGTGATTAGGAGGAGCCTAATTTGTACAACATGTGCTTATTTAACTGAGGAGGAAAGTTCCAAAATATGTTCTTTGTTCAGAAGCAAAGCGCGTATAAAGTTACAATTTGAAATATTGAGCTTCAATGGTTTAGCTATGTTTGAGGATTTATTTGAGGGATTATGTTCCAATTCATGATTGACGAATTCGAGAGAAATCATTTAGTATAATGCTAGAACATTATTTAACGATATTCATGTACAAAACACGTTCCATAACTATCATGTCTAATTTATGTACAAAACGTGTCCTTAATCTCTTGCCTCAACATTATTTAACAACAAAAGGTAACTATGAATTGTTAAAATAAGAGATAAATTTGATCCTTGTTTG